TCATAATAGAGGATAGGGCTTTAGCTTTGTTTGAAAAATGAGTAATAGATGCTGGGGTGAGCATCAGCCAGAAATGGATGACATCATGTTAGCACAGAATCAGGAGTTTAAGAGCGACGCCTAAATCCTATTTGGCTCTGACAGCAGGTGGACTGGGGTTGGGGATTTGCAAACTGGCCAAGGTCATCCCTGGTAGCCCTAATGCAAAGTGAATGTCAAAAGAGATTTGATAAATAAACAGAAGTGCTCAGAGATTCTGGTGTTCACATTCACCAGAGGAACACAGTGAGTCAGTGTTGCTTGAGTGAGGCTGGAACAATCTCGCTCTTAAAGACATAAGCCCCACGGACCCTGCTTGCCATAATTTTCAGAGTAATATGATTTTTGACAAATTCATTAAGCAATAAGACATGACAGACTGTAAATTGCTCCACTGTTAATTTATGTCCACTATATTGTTAGGCATCCAGCCAAGGCTTGGTCCTATCTGAAAGCAGAGATATAAATTGCCGTTGTGTAACCACAATCTGGGATGCTTTGTGAGGATCAGAGAATGATCAAATCCTAGAATCCTCAATACATGGAATGAGAATTCAGTCCATGACTCAGGCATTGACTTCTACAGAGTGCCCCCTTGGGAACAGCCATCTCCCCTGAGGTGAGTTTATCAGAGTGCTGGGAACACCAATAATTTCTTTCTATAAAGTGATGAGCCCTGCACCAAAGGACAGATGCCATTGCTGATGGAGCACAGAAAAAGGAGTGATCAGTTCTAGACCAATCAAGATGAGAGGGGATCGTGGAAGGCTCCAGAAAGAAGATGGTTTTTGAATTGGGTTCTAAGAGAAACACAGACATTCCTCAAATGGGGAAGAGTAGAAGTTCACTGCAGGAAAACCTCACAGAGGCATGAAAGTATGATGTGTCCAAGGAGCTCGAGCAATTTGGTGCGACTGTAACCCAGTGTGCATGGAGGAGAATCATAAGCAGGTTTACACGGCGAGAGAGTGAGTTTGGATCAAACTGAGAAGCCTTGAACTCCATGCTAAATGTCTAGGAGTTAATTCAACAGTCCCCTTCTCTGCATAATCCCACTGCCACTGCCTAATTCAGTTTGTTATTGTCATACTGGGAAATTGAAGACTCCCATACTGTCTGGATGGATCATTAGTTACTAAGGATATAAACCCTGAGGCTGGTACACTGTGCTGATAATTTAGGAGACAAACAATAATAAAAAGAACAATAGCTGGTATATATTGATTGTAAGGGTCACAGTTCATCCTGGGCTGGAGCCCTGGGTCAGAACACCACCTCTCGTAGGCAGAGATTTTCCAGGCCAGTTTCCTCATAATCCAAAAAACAAGTTCAGATCTCTTCCTTTCTCTGTAAGCATCTAGGAAAATGTGAGAGGAAGATGTGGGCTTGAAGTAACAGAAGTCTCCTTGTCGGAGTCCCAGACTGAATTAACAGATCCAGCACTGTGGACTTGGTTCCTCTTTCAGTTCCCCTGGGCATATCTATAGAAAGGAAAAGAAAGTAGAAGAAATTGCCAGAACTGTGGCAGCAGAACTGAAGGAATTACAGTGTGAAAAGAATCAGGAGGCCTGGGTCTTGCTCCACCCTCTCACTCATCAGCCCTACGGCCTTGAGCAGAGACGGCCTCACCTGTCTGGGCTGTTCTGGGAATTAAAACGAGGGCGTGCACATGAGAACATCTGGCACAGAGCAGGCCCTCAGGAGATGCTTATTGAATCTGAATCTGGAGTCGGTTGGTAGGGAACCTGAGAAATAAGCAGCATTCAGAAGGGAAGTGGTTGGCATGTTGGAAAGGGGCTGCAGACCCAGGGAATAGCTCACTGAGATCATCGGCATGACCTCCTGGCCCCGAGGGGTGATTTTGCAGTACTCTGTCCCGTTACTTTCAGCCCCCAGGGACCTTTGATCAGTCTCTGCTCTACACCAATGTTCACGGAGCTGGCGTGCTGATTAGTTTTCATCAACTGAACACAGTGAGGCAGGTCCCAGGAGGTGGAGGGAAGTTTTGTTCCTTGTGAAGCTAGCTGTATCTGAAACACACTGAGTCCTTGGGGATTCCTGACATGATTTAGACATTCTTAGCCTGCCCACTGCAGGAGGCTTTACCCAGGAAATGCGTCCCGTCATCTCACTAACTAGTGGAAAGCAGGCGGGGTGCAGGAAGAAGAAATGCTGGTCCTGGTCCCGGGAGGTCTGCTGCAGGAAGCTCATCTCTGTCAACTGGGAGACCTTTGGCAAATGAACTTCTCTGAGCCTCAGGTTGCTTGTCGAAAATGGAAATAACAGCACCTACTCTTTGGGATTATTTCTTGACTCAGTTGCTATAACCTATGGGAAAGCACTTTACGAATCGTAAAGTGCCAACAATAACTCATCATTGTTATTTTTAGCGATCGAGCGTGTAAGCTTTGCAGCCGGTTAAATCTTTCAGTCTTCCAGTCCTCATGTGCCCGTTACCCTTCGCTACTGTCTCCATCATTCCGGAAGGCATAACTCATGTCCAGATGACTCAAATGGGGAGATTCTAATGAGGCCCCTACTTAGAAAGGTGTAGGTAGAGTTAAGGGAATAAACAAGGGACGGTGAGGCCTCGAGAGGCCAGCAATAGCTGGAAGCAGTTACTGCCCACTACAGATGAAAGGACAGAGGAAGTGCTCCTACCAGATCTCAGTGAGGATGCTCAGTGCCTTAAAGGAGGAGGGGCTAACTGGAGGGATGCGGCTCTTGCCAGACATGGGACACCAAAACAGGAACGACTTCTCCTCTGCCCACCAGTCTCCCGTTGGTTGAACCCAATCAGAAGGCAACGAGCAAGGGATTCCTAACAATGCAGTTCACAGGGCCAAACTCTCAAAGACTCGCGTCTTTGTGGTCATCTGTTATTGCCTGTGGTCTACCCTTCACAGTGTTTTGTGCATGGTATCGAGACAGCAGCATGGCTGGTAGTAACGAGCAGGGTTCTGAAACAAGGTCTGTGTTCAAATCTTGGCTGTGTCATTTGCTAGCTATGTGACCTTAGGGAAATTTGTTTAACTCTCAGAACCTCAATTTTCCCATCTGTAAAAGGGGCCTTATGAGAGTGCCAATTTCAGGGGATAGAGTATTAAATTCAAAAATACTGGTAAAGTACTTTCCAAGGTACATAGTAAGCACTCCATAAATATGATTGATGTTGCTGTTGTACTTTTAGCAGACCCATTTTCTACTGCTGCTCTTTCTCCCAAACCTTTGCACTGGAAACGCTTCTCCATGGAAACCTCACCCTTTTGCACCTTTAACATGTTCAGTAATTCTACAATTTTTTTTTCCTATCTGAAACCTGGATCTCCCCGGTAGACTTTTCTAATTCTTTTCCTTTTTATTTAGCTTCTTGGCATCATTTATATTTTGGCCATTCCTTCCTCCTAGAAAAGCCTTCTTCCCTTGGCTTCGGTTTTACTATCTTCTGGCTTTTGTCTTGATTGGACAGACCGTGTCCTAAACTGAATTTCTTTTCTTTCCCAAAAAACATGTTCCTCTCCTCTTACCTTAATTAACGGCACCCACGTCACCCAATTGCTTACACTTGGATGTCTCATCTCTTTCTCACTCCTTATAACCAATAAATCATGGCGCTCCACACATTAAGCCTCTAAAACATCTCTAGAATCTGTCTACTCTTCTCCATCCCTAAGAGCACGGTGTTCGTGTGAGTCATCAGCATCTCTTGGCAACTTTATTGCCATAACTTCCTAAGAGGTCTCATTGCCTCTTGTCTTCCTTTCTCTACCCATTCTTCACACTGTAGTCGAAAAAGTTATTCTACAGAAAACACTTTCTCATGTCCCCACACTTATTAAAACTCCCTCAGTGATTCTCCATTGCCCTTATGAGAAAGCCCACTGTCATTAATCGCTAGCAAGATGCTGCCAATGACGAGATACTCATCTCGAGACACTCCTTTCTCTCACTCAACCCCATTGGTAACAAATGACTTGCAAATCCCCCAGCACTCAAACTTCCTCTCTCCTCTGGGTGGTGGACACGCTGGCCAGAACCTTCCATGCCCACATTGCACTTAGCTAACTCTCGCTCACCCTTTGCATCTCAGCTTGGATACCAATTTCTCCAGGAAGCTTTCCCAACCCTGAGACTCTGAGTTAGTTGGCCCCCCTGGCTGTGCCCCCAGGACTCTGAAGTGCTGATTCTATGAAAGCAGACCATTCATCTTGATCATATTGCTTCACCTTTGTATCCAGTACCTGGCACTTCTGAATAAGGGAAGATTCAACACAAGATAGTCACTGCCTGATCTCCATTTCCCCATAAGCTCCCTGTTCTGACTCTAGAATCATCTTCTTGAGAAAATGTCATTCCACAGGGAACTTTGAGAACCCTGTTCAAGCTCAAAAAAACAGCAGAAAGTCAATCAGTGCGACATGACAGGGCACACTCTTTCAAAGACAGCTATTAATAAAGCAAATGCAGAGCTGGTTTGGACCTAAGATAAGCAACAAAAACACTTAGTTTTCCTAAGTGTTCTAGAGCAGTCTCTCATCTTAGGAAAGCCCATCAGGCCCTTTTCACTGGCTCTCCTGTCTAAACACACAGATTTCACCACTGGACCATGTCAAAAATGTCCACAGCTTCTGTCTATAACACAGCTCTTCAACTTGTACTGAATGCTTTGGAACACATGTTATAAAAAGGTCATTCATTGTCCTTTCTTCCCCTCAGTTTTCATGCGTTACTCCCAGTTAAGCTTTCTTATTTCATAGGAAGTCATGCTACTAAATAAATCCAGTCATATAATAAGAACATACCTTTTCTCAATGAAGTCTTGAGTCTCAGAGTTAAGCCTTCACAAGTGAGTTTTTCCAAACTAGAGACTACAAAACTGGATACATACTGGGTTGCAGGTTTCTATTCTATGTAAAACAGGTAGCTAGTTGATCTCAAAAGCACCACACAGCAGTGAACAGAGACTAAGGCTTAATATAATCTAAAGGAAATGCACTGATACTTTCATTGTTACCAACGATAAGTCGTTAAAAGAACCCTCACTTTCTACTTCCAAATCGCAGGCTCCTTCCAAAACACGGCATTGTCTTCCTTCAGACGTGATTCCTGTGCTATGTCAACAACTGAATGTGCTTGTGATTGTCAAACGATGTCAGGTAGTATATCATCAATAATGTAATACTGGGAATAAATGAAGAGGAAATAGAATGCAGAAAGTTCCCAGGCAAATTTGGGGAAGATGAAGTGGAGGAAAAGGGAGGAGCATCCGAAGCAGTAGAAATACTTTATTAAGGCCACAGATGCATGAGTCAGTGTCACATGTTCATGGGAAAGGGCAGAAACACATGTGCTGAAGGATAGTGGGAAATAGGGTTAAACACATAGAAATGGTCCACATTTTGAAAAGTAAAAGGTAATATTAAAATCCACCTCTAGCTCAATGCCTTGCTTTGGGAGAAAGCTATCTTGAATTGAACTGAATTATCTTTTTGAGTAAAAATATGCTACATGGCTGTTGATACTCCTGATCATCTTCAGACCTGGAAACTAAGTAAATTGATTTTGCTTAGCATTTATTGACCACTTCCTATAGCACTCATGGCAGTGAGTGCTCTGTGTGCTTTATCACGCAGAATCTGCTCAATAACCCTATGCGGGAGGTACAAACGTGCTTCCCTCTCCACAGTGAAGAAACTTGGGCCAGGAAGAAAGTGAAACGCATTTCCAAGTCGTAGACTCCGTGCGGGTTTTCTGATTCTGGAAACGGGGGCTTTAACTTCCTTAGTATTTGGCCTTTCATAACATTTCAAGGATCATGACGTTTGGTGGTTTGAGGGTGAAGTTTTCCTTCTTAAATGGTAACATTCAGCCCTCCTCCCCTTCAGGGTTCCTAACTAAGGAAGCTGAACACACAAAGGAACGAAGTAGAAGAGAAATCAAGCAAGTGATTGGCCAATTCAGAGTTTCTTTAATAAGCTGATGTGAAGCGCATGCTGGGCTGGTAGGTGTAAGAGGGGCTTCCCACTTCTGACTGTGTCTAAGATGGCCATGCATGCAAAGGGGAGCCAATCTGATATATCCACCAAGATGCTGAGGGAGAAAATGGCCAACCTGCCAGTTTGGACCAGGCCCTGCGAGGATATGAGGACTACACAATAGCAGTAAATGCAAGGCAGCAAGTAGAGACGGAGACCTTGGATACATCAGATGAGAAAATGTCCCAGACTGACATAGAGGGATCTGGGAAGAGTCGGGGAGAGGGTCTGAGACATGACTTCCCCTGCAGGAAAGAGCAGAAACAAGGAAGAGGAGTTAAGGGACCCCCTCAACACACAGTAAGGACAGAGCCAGACATGCGAGTAACTTCTGCAGGTTCCTAAGCACTTTAACATTCACTCTATCACTTGAACATCACAACAATGCCTTGAAGAGAAAATCGAGACACAAAGAGTTTAAGGGACGTTCCTAAAATCAGACCACCTAGACACATCTCGGCCTTCTAACATTTCCTCTAAGTCCTAGTTCATATTTTAGACGATTAAAAAAGAAAAAAAAATGACACGTATCACATTTCTGAATCCTATCCAAACTATAACTTGTTTTAAAAACAAAAAAAACCCCACCAATTTTCAATTATTCCAATGGATTTAATCATTGAAAACAACTCTTAAGAATAAGCAATTATTCACGTGAAAAAAATATTTCTTCATGGTTTCCAAGAGTGTGTTTTTCAGAGCCACTGCTTCATACGTTTTAGATGAATGGTGGGTCCTAGGCTTGTTCAGTGCACAACCCACCCAGTCTTCATAGAAGCCCTGTTCTGTCTGTTCCCACCATACTACTCAGTCCCCACACAACTGCCGACTCAATGGACCAGAGTGATGTATTTTCCATTTGTCCTTTTAGTTCTTTTTATTTGAGATATAACTAATATATAACACGGTTGATGTTTAAGGTGTACATGTGTTGATTTGATACATTTATGTATGACTACATGATCACTGCCAGAGCGTTCGCTAATACCTGTGTCATGCCACATAATTATCACGTCTCCTTCGTGGTGAGAACAGTTAGGATCTAGTCTCTTAGCAGCTTTGAAGTTTATAATACAGGACTGTTGATTGTAATTACTACGATCTTCTTTATCTACTACTGTAGGTTTATACCCTTAAGCAGCATCTCCCCAGTTTCTCCACCCCCAGCCCCTGGAAACCACCGTTCTAGTCTCTGTTTTTTACCATTTTGTATTTTTTAGATTCCACATATTAGTGAGATTATACAGTATCTGTCTTTCTCTGTCTGACTTTTCTCACTCAGCATAATGCCCTCAAGGTCCATCCATTTGCTTTTAAAACAAATATTGAGCACATGCTATGGGCAAGCGCAGTGCTAGTTTCTGATGATGCAGCAACAAACAAGACACATTTCCTGCCATCAAGCCCTCACAGGTTAGCGGGGCAAAAAATACCAGTAAACATACACCTACAATTCAATGCGATCACTGTTTTGACATAGAAAACCCTGTTAAGCATTTCTGAACACTTTTCATAAGAGCACTTGCCGTGTTGGGTTACTGTGAGGATCGAATGAATTAATGCATAAGAAGTACTTGAAAAGGTACCAAGGACCAGTGCTCCACATGCACTAATTCACTCAATCCTCACATCAACCATATGGTGTTAAGTGCTGTTACAGATGTTAAATGTTAAATGTTAAAGCCCATTTTACAGATGAGAAAATTAGGGCACAGAGCAGATCAGCAATTTAACACAGATCCAGAACACCTTCATGGTGGTACTTGGCTCTGAACCTGGCAGTCAGATCCCAGGGCCCACAGGATTTAATCACTACCCAACACTACCCATCCGGGGGCAAAAAGGAGCTATGGGAGCAAAGAAGTTTCCAGCCTGGGTGTCGGAGCAGGGCGCACACTTCTTGCCTGGGTTCCATAATGCAGTCTCCGTTCAGGCTGATACTAAAGTGAATACTCAGCTCTGACCCCCAGGGCCTTCGCTCCAAAGCAGAGCAGTGCGTGAAACCCCCACAGTGGATTTTGCATCAGCCCATCCTGTTATTAGTCAGTTAGGCCTGGGGAAGCTGACACAGCAGCAGCTGTTAGGAATATTATATGTCGGACGGATATCATAATGATGTGCCGTTGTCAAAAGCATCTATTTTCTTCATTAAAATGAAGAGCATTTTATGTGGGAAATTTCTTACCAAGCCAATGTTTCAGCCGAGGGCAAGAGGAGAGAGTAAACATGAGAAGCCCAAGGAAAGGTATATGCAAGCAGAGGATGAATGTTTAGTCTGGGTCTAATAGTCTGCAGAGGACATGTGCAATTTGGGAAGATTATGGGGGAAAACTGCCAAAGCCGGGCGAGCTCTCTCTGAGGTACACACACCGTGTATTAGGAGAGCATCGGCCGCGCTCCCTGAACTAGGTTGTCCTCCGGTTTGCACAAGTGGACCAGCACACAGAAGCCACCGAAAGGACACACTCTCTAGTCATCACCTACTATGTGCCAGATGCTACCCACCCCCCGCCACAGGTATTCGTTAATCCTCAAAATAACATTACAAGAGAAATATTCCTATCTCCTTCTTGCAATTGTGCAAATAAGTCTCAAAAGTATGCCCAAATTTGTGCTTCTGAGTTGCAAAGTCAGAATTTGAATCCACCCCTGACTGCTTCCAAAGCCCTTTCAACCCTTGCTGATTCCCCTCTGAGAACTTTTAGGACCCTTACTTCAGACATCACATAACCTTTAGGTTGGTACGTCCAACATCTGTGAGGGCAGGGGGTAGCATTTAATCCCTGCTACTACCTTTAAAGTACCTAAAATACAGTGGATGCTCAAGCCTCTTCTTCTAAAAATTCTTTAATAAACTTTATTTTTTAGCATAGTTTTAGGTTTACATCTTCACAGCAAAATTGAGAGGAAGCTACAGAGATTTCACATTTATCTCCTGCCTCCACACATGCTCAGCCTCCCCTACCATCAACATCCTGCACCAGAGTGGTACCATTGCTATAACTGATGAAGCTACATTGAAACATCATTTATGACCCGAAGTCCGCAGTCTACATTAGGGCTCACTCTTGGTGTTTTACAGTCTACAGGGTTTGGCAAATGTGTAATGACATGTATCCATCACTGCAGCATCATACGGAATAGTTTCACCTATTTTTTTCATCCTATTCCTCCCTCCCTTACCCTTAACCCCTGGCAACCACTGATTACTTTACTGTCTCTGTAGTTTTGCCTTTTCCAGAATGTCATATATTTGGAATCATCCAACATGTAGCCTTCTCAGATTGCCTTCTTTTACTTGATAATACAAATGCAAGATTTCTCCATATGGCTTCATAGCTCATTTCTTTTCAGTGTTGAATAGTATTCCAATGACTGGATATGCCAGTTTACTTACCCTTTCACCTACTGAAGGACATCTTTCCAAGTTTTGGTAATTTTGAATCAAGCTCCTGTAAATATCTGTGTGCATGTTTTTGTATAGACATAAGATTTCAACCCCTTTGCATAAACACCAGAGAACATGGTTGCTGGATCATATGGTACAAGTATGTTTAATTTTGTAAGAAACTGCCAAACTATCTTCCAAAGTGGCAGTACCATTTTGCATTCCCACCAGCAATGAATGAGGTTTATGTTGCTCTACTTCCTCGCCAGCATTTGGCGGTGTCGGTGTTTTGGAGTTTGTCCATTCTGATAGGTGTATAGTCAACAAAGATTTTTTTTTCAATAAGTAAATTGTATAAATCATGAATTGAGATGGAATAAGTTCAAAATCATTAAGAAAGTTGAGGTGTAAGATTTGGTATTTCCATTATCACTTTTAGAAGACTGGGAATAAAGCGAGAGCTTCCACAGTCAAACCCTAACCTAACACTTTCACGTTACCATCCACACTCTTTGCGACAAATGGTTCTGTCTGCCCCAGGCAGGCAATCCACTGAGTGTGTGTGTGCTGGGGCTGGAGGTGACAGGAGCGTACTTTGGAATCTCAGTCTAAAATCTCTTTCTTTGCTACATTTCATTCTTCTCTAGCTACTATGTTCTCCCCAGATTTGGGTTGCAAATACAGCGTATTTCTTTTATTATTATAATTGATTACTATGGGACCTACTGCCAGTATTAGAAAAATAGTACCTCCACATTGAGTGCCCCTACTTATAAGCCTTCCAGATATTAAAACATAGTAAACCTACAATAATTTAGACCGGCACACATATAAATAGAACAATGTCAAATTAGGAAATAAAGCCAAATGCATAGAGGAATTTAGTATATGATAAGTGGCATTTTGGTTTTGGGAAAACTCTATCAGTGAATAAACAGAATTAGTGTGATGGGTACCATTTGGAATAAAATAAGTGTTAGATTCTACTTCATACCTTAAATATAAATTCGTTTTAGAAGCATCAAAGTTTTCAATAATTTAAAAGGAAACTGAAAAAAAGACAGGAAAATACATGATTAATTTTAACAATCTAGGAGTGAGGAAGCCTTTTCAAAGAATAACACGAAACCGTGAAATTTTAAACAAATCGATACATTTGACCACATAAAAATAAAATATTTACGAATGGCTGAAAAATAGAAGACAAACGAAGTATTTGGGAAAATACATTTGCAACTCATATCACATCAAAGAGATATTTTTCCTAATACTTCAAGGGTGTTCAGAGATGAGTAAGAGAAAATGTCACTAATCCCATTGAACATGGTCGAATTACACGTACATAGTTTACAGAAGAAAACAAATGAGTTTTTAAAACAAGAAATAAAGTTCAATGTCCCTCATAATGAGAAAAATACACCAAGATGCCACTTTTCTCTTAAAAATTGGCAATGACCCATATTTTGAAAATACGCTCGGAAGGTGAGGGAAGCAAGCAGCCTTGGACACCGTTGGCGGGACTGTGCATCGCTACGGACGCACAGGAGGACCGACGGGAAGTACCTGTCGGAATTACACAGGCACGTGCTCTCTGACCTAGCAAACCCCCTTCCCTGTATTCATCAGATTTACCTGCCCAAGTGCTCGTGTTTATTTTACTGCAAGCCCCACCTCCGTCAGGGCAGAGCGGTAACTAAAACACGTGGCATTCATACAATGGGATACCATGTAATCATAAAGGAGGATGAGGAAAACTGCTCCGTCCTTTATCGTTATGAGATACAATCATCCAGATGTGTTTTTATATTAAAAAGCACACAATCTTGCATGGAACCATCAGAAACGCAAAGGCACGTACTGTATGTTTCCATCCATGCGGCCTTCAAGATCAGGAGAAGCTAACAGGCAGTGAGGAAAGCGAGGCTAGCAATGATCTTAGGAGAGACTGGGAAGAGGCACAAGGGTGGGGTGGGGGTGCTAGAAACACGTATCTTGATCCGGATGGTGGTGACCTAGGTATATACTGGAAGAAAAACTCACCACACTGTATGCAACATTTCTGCACTTCCTGTACATGTTATAGCTTAGTTTTAAAAAATACAAACAAGATGAAGAACAGCATGAAGAGTATTTCATATTTTGCACAAAAGAGAAAAATAGGTCTCCACGTGTGTTTGCTTAAACTTGCATAGAATATTTCCAGAAGGTCACACAAGAAACTGGTAGCACTAGTTACAGCTGAGGAGGGTTCCTGAGCGACGAGGCACGGAGGCGAGAGGGAAATCCCTCGCTGTACACCTTATGCTACTTTTGCATATTAAACTATGTGAATATATTACCTTACCACTACATACACTGAATTAAAATATTAACAACACACCGCTTAGAATTGCCCAGGACTTCTGGAGCTTACTCAGCCTTACTGACAAATGCCACATGGACAGAAAACTGGAGGGTCTACAGTCTGCCCTCTGCTGGCGTTGAATCTCCAGCCACATGGTGTCACTATTGAAGGTGTGTCTGTAAGACCTGACAAACACTGGTCCATCACCAGCCTCCACCACCTCCCAGGGCAGGAGTCGTCACAATTGCTTAGATCCTTAGGTTGACCAAGTTCACATGCCCAGATGCCCTATTTTATTCACTCGTTTAACAATATTTATAAGTGCCCATTGTATGTTCCAGGCAAAGGGGACACAGTAGCTCATATTTCTAGTTGAGGAAGATAGTTATTTTCTAGCATATAAAATGAAAATAGAGAGAGAACCTGTCAGGTGGTACAAGGAGGGAAAACAAGACAAGGCATAGAGGTAAGATGTCTTGGTGGAGGGTGGTGACGGAGAGTCAAGGCTATTCCAGGCGAGTGGCTTACAGAAGGCCTCGCAGGTGAGGGGGTATCTGAGATCTGAATGCATCAAGGAGACAAGCATTGAGAATATCTGGTGATAGAGAGTTTGAGGCAGAAGGAACAGCAAAATCCAAAAGCCCTGAAATCAGAGCATGCCCTCCAACACTGAGAAACATCTAGGAGGCCAGTGTGGCTACAGCACTGAGAACCACATAGGGAGTATCAGAAACAAGGAAGGGGAGGTCAGCAAGGCCGCATCACGAAGAGCCTCAGAGGCCACATAAACAGTTAGACTCTTGCACTGAGCAAGATGGGAAACCAGTGGGGGGTCTTGAGCAGAATCAAGAGATTATTTTTGTGCCTATTAAGTGGGAAGGTTAGGATAGATGTACAAGTCTGGGCTTTACAAAAGAGAGAGGGCAGGTACATAAATCTGAGAGTCTTTGAGTTTCTCTTTGCTCCAAGTTGGTTACTCTTCGGGGGCTTCTGGGTGTTTGCAGTCCTTTCTCACCAGCACAGCTTGGTCAGGACCATCCTAGTCTACTCAGCCAGGTTCCCTACCTTCACATCATGCGAAGCAAGGGTTGGGTATTTATTCCTCTACCTCAGTCAGCAAACTGATCTATCCTCATCTGGAGACTCCACATGTCAAAGGATCTAAGGGGCACAGTCTTTGCTAAGTCAAACACATGCCCCCACATCCACTCAAGTCCACTTACGCAATTCTGCTAGGACCATAGATGCACACTCACCTTACATTTTTCATTTCCTTGATCAAGAGGAGCCATTTAACTCCTTCTCCGCTGAACTAAAAAGGGTTACTTTGTCCACCTGTACATAGCCATACAGATAGCTTAATATTATTAAAAGTTTTTTAGTTACGTCTTACTAAGGCTTCCATGACATTTCTATGAACTTTCACCACCTTTGGTAGATTTCCTAAAGATTTTTCCGTCTTTGTCTATTTTTCCTCCACTAACATCTGGATTATCCATCTGCTCCTGCTGACAAATATATGCCATCCAATCTTTAAGGCCCTGAAATCAAGGCACAGCCTTCTCACTAGTTGAATGATCATGAGATAGTCCCTTCATTTCTCTAAGCCTCAGTTTCCTTACTTTATCATGAATTCCTATCTCTAAGAACAGAATGAGTTTTATTTTGTTTATATTTTTCTATGGTTTTCAACTTTGATGATGATAAAGATGATATTTATCTGATGATGCCCTGGTGAACTTGGGGATCTTCATACTCTTCGCAGAGCAAGAAGGAAGTTGGCAAGTGAAGTTGAGAAGTGTGAAAAGAACTGGCATGCATGTAGTAGAAAGAATATATGTACTATTATTATTAGCCTAAATTAATTAGCAGCCTGCCAGTTAACGAGCTATGTGACCATGGGAAAACTTGCATATCCTTTCTGAGACACTGATTGCTAATTTGCAAAATGTAGGCAATAATAATTCTATTCATGGGGTTATTCTTAGGAATATTTAAATGTTATTAGGAACATTCAAATCTAAAGAATATTTAAATAAGCCTCAGTCACTATGCCAGCTATCTTGACAGTGACCAAACACTTCATAAACTTGGATTATATTATCCTCATCATCATCACCAGGGAGGAAGGTCAGCTGGAGAAGGACAGATGGAGGATACAGGGAGGAACTGAGCACCAGGTGAGTTTGGTACAATTTTTGTTCTTAGAAGTTATGCAGAAGAAGGTAGATGCAGTGGTGATTCAGACTTGAAACAGCACTACTTCATTCAGGGCAAAGTAGAAACACACATGTATGGAATTTTTTTCTACCAGGAGTGTAGTAGAACATAACGATCAAGAGGTTGGGTTTTACACAAAAACAGGCATAGTTTTCATCCTGACTCTGGAACATACTGGCTGTGGAAACTCCATTCCCGAAACCTCAATTCCTCACCCGCAGGAGGAAAGACAAAGGTGATAGAACTGGTCGCCCAAGCCCCATCCCAGATCCCAATGACACCATCCTCACTGAAGCGTCAGGAGAAGGGCCTTGAGAGGCAGAGTATCATGAAGAGAAGGGCTCCGTGCCTGGAGACAGAGCTGGCTTGAATCCTAACCGAGGTATTTATTATGTGACTTTGGATAAGTTTCTTGATCTGTCCAACCCTGAGTTTCCTCACCTATAAATTGGAGATGATAATAATCATTTCTGATGGAGAGGTAGCAAGCAAAACACTGCTACAATCACTGGCACGTCGTACGTGCTCCAAAGGTGGTGATGACTGTTGTTTAGATTGCTCTTCACCAGGAGCTGGGCTACATGTGGGACACAAGGTGGGCAAGAATCCACTTCACCCTCTGTATAACACGACACCTGTCAGCTATTTAAAGACAAGTGCCGGGGGGAGGGTGCAGCTCAAGCGGGAGAGCACACGCTTAGCCTGCACGAGGTCCTGGGTTCAATCCCCAGTACCTTCTCTAAACATAAAATAAGTAAACCTAGTTACCTCCCTCCTCCTCCCCAAAAAATAATTTTAAAAAATACATTAAAAAAATAAAATAAATAATAAAGACAAATGCCATGTTGCTCCACTCCATATCCACTCCAGTCTTCTCTGGTGTCTTAGCTATTTCCCCCAGGACAAGATTTCCCCCACACAGTCCTCTCCTCCCCAGCCTTCACTCGGAGAGTTGTTTTTTCAATGTCCCTTCAAAATCTGACACCCACAATGGACACAATGTCAGCCATGATGCCATCAACCTGGGATACCATGGGATGAGAACTTGGCTTTGGTCTTTACCCTGTACTTCAGCTAATCCAGCTACATGTTCCTGTCAGCTTCCCTGTTCTTGTAACAGCCACAAAGAACACTACAACGGAGCTGCTAAACTCACTAGCACAATGAGGGCACCTGAGCAAGTATTCAGTTGTTTTCAACAAATTTAAGGGTAAGGAAGCAAATCTCTTGTATAAGAATTCAAACTAAAATCAGGAAGAACCCACTGTGCCTCTCATCCTTCACGTAGTAAGGGTGGCCCTCATTTAGTGCCACTTGAAGAAGATGGATGTTTTAATCTTGGGGGAAAAAGAAAACTTTCAACCTGACTAAGAATAGAAATGCTTAACCAAGAAGAAATGAACCTTGAGTATATTTTAAAGGTGGACTCCCTAGTAAAGTTGAGAAGATCTTTATTATTCATGTCAAATATCCTTTTTCACAGCTCATAAATCCTCCCAGAGGAACAGAGTGGAGCCAAAACAGATTTATATCCTCGTCCTAAGGCAGTCACCTGCCAGCGCCTCCGGTCACGTAGCGGGCGTCACAAGCCGCGGCTCGAAGACAGTCAACAGGTACTTACTGCAGCCTCAAGTGGTAAACAACCCGTTTTCAAATTAGCAAATAAAAAGAGTCCTGAAATATAGATCCTATTCTCTAAACACGAATGAGGCCTGCTTTCCACTCTTTGATTTGTGTGCCTAGGCCTGAGTGTCAGAGGCCCGAGGAATCACAGCCGGTTGAAAGAGAGGAGCTGAGCAGGAAAGTCGTATTTTGTTTCACAAAAGAAGCTCAAGCGTCAGGGTTTGAATGGCTCGAAACCTCTTTAATCAAACCAGGGCTTCTCAGTCCAGGGCTTTGTAAGTGAGCTAATTAGTAATGTGCCAGAGACTTACCTGGTAATCAAATGATTAATCACTTCGGTAGACTTCAGTCCTCTTGTTTCCTGGCTGTCTCCAGCTCTTCTACTTGGGTTTTTGTTGGGGTTTTTTTTCTTGTATTTTTGGGGAAATTAGCATTTTAATAGCTGGCAGTCACCATTCAGGGTAAAAAAAATGACATTGTCCCATTTTAACCATTTTTTGTACAAATGAAAATGAGACAGTGGAGATTCTTTCTCAGGAGGAGGAAAAGAATAGTCCTGGGCGATGGCGTGGCCACAAGATTTTAAATCGTTTCTGAGGACACATGGTGTTTGGGTAGAAGAGGATTCGAAGCACAATGGAAGCTTCCAGCATTTCTTTACACGGACAGACGTGTTTGGAGAAAAGGGTTCTGAAAAATTACACGACCACAAATCAGCTGGATGATATTCTTAAAGTTTAGATATCAAAACCGTTAAGGAGCTCAATCATCTTTTTCAAAGGTAATATTCTAATGGCTCAATTTCAATTCAATATCTTAAAACAGTTGTCAGCCATAAAAACATGTAAAGAGCCAAAAACGGTAATAAATTTATCAGCAATTCCCTCATTATGTCCTTGATAACCACCCTCCTACTCTGTCCACATGATCCTTCAGCCCTCTTCTCACATCCTGTGGCTCTTCACCGTGCATCATACAAAAGCACCAGTGATGAGTCCAATGGCATTCCAAGTGGATGACAATAATAATAATAATATCAATTGTGCATTGGCTTACAATAATCCCTGTGTTTGAAGTCCCATTTAATTTTCCTCCATTGCCACACCTGTTCCACTGACACACATGTAAAATTCCCACATGTAGTAGAAAGAAGGTGATCAAAGAAATATTTTCCTTTCTTAAAGGCCCAGAGTAGATAGACCCTGAAGGTAGGTGTGAATGACACAAAGGGACGATGCACCTCCATTCTGTGAGGCTGATGAGTCTCAGCCCTTCTAGAAAGAGCAACATTTCCATGTGAAATTCATCAAACTGCATGACTTCCTATATCCTGATCTTTCACCATAGTGAACCACTGTTTCTGATGGGAGAGGGTCAAGCACTTCAGGGGTGGTGTCTAAGTAGTGTGTGCGTGTGTG